AGAGTTTTCTCTTCCCCTTCATTCCCTTCCCAAAGAAAGGCACAATTTGTCCCATTTTTAATTTGGTATCTGAAGTCTGGTCAACTCAAGCCCCGGTGTTCTTATTAACAGTGTTCAAAGCATGAAGACTTCCAGGAAGTTTTCATTTAGCAGAGCTTACTAATGTGTCATGGTTTGTAGTTGCCCACACTGAGAATGGACTGCCTGTGGCCCATTAAGACCAGGCTTATAGTCCAAAATTCCCATTGGTTTCATTGTGTAACAATGCTCCCAGTTGAAGCTTATCTGCAGGGGCTGAACCCCAAGTCCAAAAGCACGAGCCCCTACTTCTCAAACTAATGCTGCATCAGCTTGCATACACCAACAGACTCACAGACTGCTCTCTATGTGGGCTAAGCACAAAGTTTTATTGTAAGTATGAATTCTAATTAGTTTTACCTGGGTGAGGATATAGGCCATGGCTGTACAACACAAACCAAATCATACATGTTGAACCTCTTTAGTCCAACACCCTCTGGACCTGACTGGTGCCAAAACAGAGAATTTGCAGAACAACAGAAGATCAATAATGTCTAGCAGCTTTACCAACACTTACTCTGCCTAGTGGGCTCTTAGTCTGTAACTTAAAAAAAAACGTTGTTTTTCTAACATGGCTATCCCTCTGGCTCTTAGAAGATCTTTAGGGGGAAATCAGAGCTAGATAACAGCACAGGACACTGAAAGTCAGGACTGGTAGCTGTAACCAAACTTAATGGGACCACAGGAACTTTAGTCACGCCCATGATAAGTGGACATCCAGCTAACTAAAATTATGCCGGACCGTAGATGTTGCTGGACCAGAGAGTGCAAGATTAGAGAGGTTCAGCCTAAAAAAAAGGAAAGGAACTGAAGCACACATAGCTCTTGCCCCTTTAACATTTACTACATACTCATACAATCATCCCATAGGTTGTCTGAGAGAGTAACTGCTGACCAGTGTGAGTAAGAGGATCTGGCTCTGTGTGTAAGAGTGATACAATTGGAGCCCATGTTCAATTTCTCACATTAAAAGCCACACTTAGATTTCAGAAGTAGAACTGAAATACAGGTTGGACTTCCCTGGTCTGCTGCTACTCAGGATCTGACTGGTCCTGGATGAGGGATTTTTCTGGACCAAGGGAGGTCATATCTAGCCCCCCTGCTACCAGCCCTCCCCAGCCATAAACCAGCTGCTGGCCTCCTGGCTGGCTCCTTCCATGCCACACTGCTGCACAGAGCTAGCCTTCTGGTTGTGACATGCCAGGCAGCCAGCCCTCCACTGGGACTTCCTGGTCCTGGACCTCCGTGGTCCGGCTGGACCTCCGTGGTCTGGCTGGACCACGGAGTCTCAGTTAACCAAGGTTCAACCTGTATTCAAAAGGTAAATAAAGGGCAGGACAAAAAACATGCTTAGATGATTACAGGGAACAATGAGCTCTGCCCTCTTTCTTGAGGCTCATAGGATTGTAATCTGGTTATTTCAGGAGGAAAATCTCCTGTTGATATTTGAATGAATATCCAATGCTGTTTATGAGCCAATTTTTGCTACACTATTTCACAGTGTTTGTGCAATAATTAGATAGAAAAGGACCTATTAGCAATGTGTTTTCTAAACAATTGGCCTGAGTTTAGAGCTATTGAAGGCCTTCAGTTCTCACTAATTTTGGTAGCAGATGAGGATGCTCAATCCCTCTCCTCTCTCAGCATATGTTCATAGAATGATTGGCTGAAGGGAACACATTACTTTCCATTTTCTGTTTTTAAAAAAAGTCCCTAAAAGGATCCCACAAATTCTAGGATAAAGCAATATTAAAATATCATGCACGGCATATTAAAATATCATGCACGGCATCATGGTATGTACATTTTAGAATATTATTCTAAATAAATCTAGTTTCTTCCTTTTTATTTTCAAGGTTTATATTACATTGGTTAGAAGTGGCAAAATGGCAAGGGACAAAAATTAAACAGCTATAATATCCATAAGCTGGGTCACTGAACAAGGTAGAGCCCACTTTAGTATTGGTGTTAAAGCTAGCCATACACAATATACAGTGGCTTTTACTCTGCCTTTGCACAGTGTGCAAAGTGGGTATAAAATATTACCAAGTTGGTGTTCTCTCTCACAAGCGTGTTAGAGGTTTAAATTCACCCTGCACAAGATGATACATGGTGCATAGCAGTAGGAAAACCAGGTCTCAGCTTAGAATTAAATCCAGGAAGTTGGCATTTCTTCTGTCATGTTCTAGTCAACAAGATTGCACGTGTGCAATTGTACAGGAATGGCCATATAACTTTAATTCAGTGTTTTCATATGGAAATTCATTCAGAAGCTCTGTATTAAACTCCAAACACCCCAAGGAAGGAATTATCAGCTGTGTTTGTTGAGCTGTGTTACCTTTATCTACCTTTGTATTGAAAATCTCATCACTTATGCGGCAGAAGACTAACTTTGCTGTACAAGTGACTGCAGAATCATATAAGTTATAAATATTACTCATACTCTGATAGTGAAATGTGATGGCAAAAATCTCAGATACCAGCAGTGTTTAGAAAGGGAATGTGGGCTAAATCAAAATGTTTAAAGCAAGATATATAAACCATGGATGTAGAACCATGGGAATTATAGATGGAAAGTATCTAGTAAGTTCTTACCTACTTTCTACTGCCACTAAAGGATTGCTCTGCTCAGTGGATTAAGCAGCACTCTGTCTAGTTTTGAATCACTCTAGCATAAAGCTTTCTTCATATTTCTTGGCATCCAACAGGTGATGCTGTTTGGAAATGTTTCTTGATATCTACTCTCCTCCCCCATTCAGTCAGTGATACTGTAAAGTTTTAGTTCTTTTAAGCTTACCCCAAAAGTTATTCCTACTAAAGTTAACAGTGTTCATTGTTCTTTGAATTCCTTTAATTGGTACAATTTCAAGTTTATTTTAAGATTGGTACTATTGTCATAACTTGAGACCTCAGGAAAAAAAAGACAGCAGCATTATGGCATAAATAGTAGATGAGCTCAACATTGCACTACAATATTCCTGTAACAGCTTATTTAGTAGTCGTAAAATATGTCTGTTCTAAAGAAGCAATGCCCTTCAACCAAGTATATTACCCTCACCTAGGGAAGAGTAAACAGCTAACCCATGACACTGGCTTTTAGTCGATGTTGTCACTTGTTTTCCACTTACTCAATGATTTGTGATAATGAAAGTGATGTGGGTTTACCTGTCCCAAAGGGTTTAATTATTGGGTTCATGTCTCAGCTAGAAATTCCATAGTAGGGTTAATGACTTATCTTGTTAGCTGCATTAAATAACTGACATAGTTTAGAAGACAAAAATACTTTCAAGTCAGGGTGAATACATCAGAGAATCAGATACTATTTGCTTTTCCTTTCTTTGGCATAATCTATCCTGATAATTGAATGACAAAAATTTTGTGATTCAGAGGTGTTAATTTACCCCGTCACACACGCACAAAAGACAAAGATTTTGTACAAGTACCAACGTGAACAGCATGTTGTCAGCAGGAGCACTGTCCTACTGACAACATGAATGCTGCTCATGGGGGGTGGAAGTATGTTGTTGGCAAACTAGCCAACAAAGAGCAGCCACTCTGCCTGACTTTTAGCGATATGGCTATGTGGACACATCTGAGTTGTTAAAAGCTGAAAAAGCCTTTGTTAGTTGTAAATATACAGGGGTGCTGGAACAATTTATGTAATGTGGGGTGCTGAGAGCTATTGAATCCAACTCTGAATCTGTATGTGTCAGAAATCACTTCAAGCCAACATCCGTAGTTCCAGCTCCTATGCAGACGTAGTTCTGATGCAGTTAGATTTACTTTTTAGTCCAGTGCCCTGGCTGGGTTGATTTAGTTGGGATTGGTCCTGCCTTGGGCAGGGGGCTGGACTTGATGACCTCCTGAGGTCTCTTCCAGATCTATGATTCTATGAATATTGTAAGCAAGACATGAGAAGTAATTCACTCTCTACTCCTTGCTGATCAGGTCTGAGCTGGGTAGTGTGTCCAGTTCTGGGCACCAGAGTTCAGAAAAGATGTGGACAAATTGGAGAGAGTTCAGAGAAGAGCAACAAAAATGTTTAAAGGTCTAGAAAACATGAGCTCTGGGGTAAGAATGAAAAAAAAAAAGGTTGTTAAGTCTGGAAAAGTGAAGATGGATGAAAGACAGGATATCAGTTTTCAAGTACCTAATGGGTTGTTATAAGAAAGAGGGAGAAATTTTGTTCTTCGTAACTTCTGAGACTAGAACAAGAAGCAATAGGCTTAAATTGTAGCGAGAGCTGTTTAGGTTAGGCAATAGGAGAAAAAATTCCTGTCAGAGTGGTTCTTCACTAGAATAAATTGCCTAGGGAGGTTGTGGAATCTCGTCACTGGTTTTTTTAATAGTAAGTTAAACAAACAAGTTGGGGATGGTCTTGATTTATTCCTGCCTTGAGTTTGGGGGGTCTGGACTCAATGTCCTCTTGAGGGTCCTTCCACTCCTGTGATTCAATGGTCAAGAGGTTTCACCGTCCCTCCTTTTCCTGCCCCCCCAAGGACAAGCCCATGGCTTTTAAGTTGCAAGCCTATGACTTCACTTTTCTTTGGGATGGGATCCCACAACACATCTACACTCTAGGTGGGTCTCTAGGTTACACCTCCCTGTCTGCCAACTGTGTTATCTCCAGGTCCAGAGGGACTTGGACCCTGCCGGAGTTCTCCTTCGTAGGCAGTCATTAATAGCATGTTATGGCACAGAGGCAGTTTCTCTAACAGAGTATGATTTATTGGCCCAAACTATACACAGTTTTTTATTTTAAAAACATCAAAGAGACCTTATGCCTATTGTTTTACCTGTTTGACATTCTCTACCAACCTCTAGGTTGACATGACTTTAGCCTTTCTGTTCCCTTTCTCTCTGGGCATAATTATAGCTAATGCTTGTGGCTCCAAAGTCAGCCACTCATGCAGGTCAGCCCTCACTGCATGGTAACACTGTCCCCCTCAAAGTCCAGCTGAGCTGGCTGATCTCCCAACTCTATCTGCCAGGGATATCTATTGATTTCATATGGTCTTCTGATCTCCATTTGAGGAAGAGAAAAACACCCTAATCTGGACAGTGCCAGCCAGGTAGGTACTTCATCCAACTAATAGTTCAGCGATTTGTGTCTTAACTCCTTTGAAGCAGTTTTGTGAGAGGCTTGCCTCTGTCATTGTTTTATCCTTCCTGGGGTCCCTAATAATTCCCAAGCATAGCCTCTTGATTTGATTACAAGCTTTCAGTCAGGCAGCAATTAAAAAATTGAACTGGGAAACCAAGCCATACTTAATATTCCTAACACATGATTCAGACTTCCCCAGTTTGTCATAAGAATGTAAAGTCAGCCATTTGGGAAGGTTATAGCCTTTATGTGGCTTTTTCTTCAAATCCCATTAAATTAATGAATATGATATAGTATTTTATCTTTTGTTAAAAAAGAGAACGTATTTTCTAATGTGCTAATGGAATTTTGTGTTGCTATTGTCCAGATACTGTGGTGCTTTCTGTGCATGTCAGTATAAAAAGTACAATTGCTACCCCAAGACACCCATTGACTATTGCAAAGAAAATCTTGAACAATTTTGGCAAAGATTTTGTAACTGGCTGTATTTGCTTTTTTAAAAGAATTAGGCTCTAGATAAGTGTAATTAGAATCTGTTACCAATGGTGCTGTATTTCAAATCTTGGGCCTCCTACTATTATACCTTTTGTCATAAAGTTATATAGACTGGAGCTCTCATGAAGACAAGTCTGTAACCAAAGTCCTCTTGTTGCCACGCTGGTGTGTCTGCAATTTGTAGACCTAAATGTTTCCCTGTGTGTTTGTATGACCAGTGTAAAATGTCCAATAATACAAATGTGTTGCATTACTTGGACTTTCCAATAGCTCCCAGCAATGTGATCTTCTATTTCATAATCCTTAGCAACTCTGTTTCGCAGGAGAGCAGTTCTGCATGCTGGCAGTAGTGATTTTATATTTCAAAGTGAGAAAACAAATTATGTAAGTGGATATAAACTATTCCAGTACATTCAACTCAAATCCACCTTATGGGTTTTTGCTCACTACAGAAGGCGATATCCCCACCTCATTAGATAGGAGTACTATCATGAAAATACTTAGGATAAAATTGTAAATCCACACTGCCATTTTATAACCTCATGGCCTGAACCCCATGAATCTGATTCAGCTGACCCAGACCTGCTGCAGATGTGCCATTAGTCTTGAATCATAGTGTAGACATATGCATGGGCCTCTACTGGGTTAGCCTGCAGCTAAGCAAGAGTTTTTAGGATCTGAAATTTGGATTTCGGTTCTTAAAACAGGAGTGAGGCACACACTTCTATGTGGAGTTAGTCCTTAGTGGCTTTGTAAAATTCTACTCTAGGTGCTTTGTAACTGCACATTTCTAATAGGCATCTGTGATTTTTGTCAAGTGAATGCAGTCAGGTGGCACCATTCATGAGAACATATTTCAGAATGTGTCTTTCCTTGTTTCCTTAATACGTGTTCTTAATGTGAGCTCTCTTACTCTACAACTTATTATTCAACAGAATGCTCTACTTGGAATGTTCTTTGGGTTGTTAAGATATTAAATATTTTTAATAAAAATAAGTACTGTACAAACACCTTTGGGGGAAAAAAGAGATTATAGCTGAGGAAAAGAACAAATATTTATTACTATGTTGACTGGTCTGTTTCCCTTCCTTATCTCTCACTATTCAGATAGATTGTAATATTTACTCTCACATGAAACGCTTGGCCTACTTTTGGATACTCATCAGAGCAATTCTAAATCTTTATACTTTTTTTGAGTGGCATACTGTTAGTCACTACGGGTGCAATTCAGATAAGCATGAGAAGACAAATAAATTCTTGAAGCTCTATTATGGCAGGTTTAAGTGTTTCATAGACCTCATGCTGGCCCTCTGCACAAGGATGAATTTCAATTTGAAAGAATTAAGCAAGGTCAAGATCTGATCAGAGAGCTGAAAACATCAGTGCCTATTTATCAGTTACGGCACAAGAGAGCATTAGCAAAAATAGACTTTTTAAGTCCCCCCCCCCGTGTAGCTAGTATTCTAACATTGACCTCAAAAGGCTAGAGATATAGTGTTGACGCAGTTACTTGATGCTCAGTCATACTCGCTGTAGCATATTGCTGTATGGCAGAGTTACCTTTGAATGTCTTTGCCTTCATTGAGAAGCTTCAGGGGTTAGCTGAGTTAGTCTGATACAGGAAAAAAAACAACAACAAATGGTCTAGTAGCACTTTATGGACTAACAAAACATGTAGATGGTACAAAGCTCATGATACCATCTACATCTTTTGTTAGTCTATAAAGTGCCACCAGACCATTTGTTGTTTTTTTGCCTTTATTGTTTTACACTGCAACTTTTGTTCTAGACTTGCTGCATGCAGTCTGTGGGTTAGCTGCTATGCTCACCCAGAGCTTCAGTCAAGTCACTAGGCAGGAACAGGTTTGGGGCTTTTCTTGTTATTGAAATGCAGTTTAATATGGTTTACTGGTGAGAGACAGCTTTATAACTTATAAGGCACTATTTTTGAAGACTTTACAAGTAATTTACAAGTAATTACCAAGTGAATGCATTTTTGTGCACAAAATGAAACTCTGATCCCCCTGACATCAATGTCAAAACTCCCATTGACACTGGTTGAGCCAGGATTTTACCTATATTTAAGTAAGCACAGTATTCAGGGCTGACCAATAGCATTATTTTTCATGTGTTTATATAATATGAGACTAATTCTGCAAGAGAATGCAAAGTGAGTTCTTGTGGTCTGACTTCTGAAGTAAGAAGAGTAGGAAATCTTGCAAAGAAGCCCCTAGTTTAAGCTTGATGATCTAAGAGGTTTAGATAGCTTAGCTAAGCTTCAGTTAAAATCCAAACCTTTGGAGGCTTATTCAGAATTAGACTATATATCCAAACCTTTGAGGGCTCTCATTCACAGAACTGCAAGTGTTGAAAGAAGGTGAGTCATTTAATATCTGATCTACTGACATGCACTGGAATTTTATTTGCAGGATCAAGGTCTTAATTTGTGCTTACAGGAAGTAATATTTTTCATATATTCAGCTGTAACATACACAGTTCACTAGCTCTCCTTGTGACATTACCTAACTGAAATATTAGTCATCTGATTTAAATGTGGCCCATCGCAAGAAAGGGTTAAACAATTCCAGGCCAAATGACCCAGGTTCAACCTGTAGAGGCATGTGTGAGAGAAAAAGAATATAGATGGTAATTAAGGCCATTCAATGCTTGTTAGGCTAGAACTTCGAAATGCAAACATGTATTGTTAGAAAATAGTAATTAAACTAGAGGTAATACTAGTTGTGTTTTATATCTCATAGATGCTAACCATGTAAACAGATATTTTGTGTCTGTCACTAACGGTGGATTCAGAGACCAAAAGGAAATGTTAACATTTAGATTAATCTTGAGTGAGATAATGTCATTGTCAGGATGTCTTTTTAAAGTTCATGTTAAACAGCTAAATTGATAAATTACCTTATGTTATTTACCTGATGTTTAATTACCATAAGGTTACATCAAGAGACTGTGTTCTTCCAGGCCATGAGGCTGCTGCAAAAGTATGAAGTCCCTATAGACAGGAGCCTTGTTTGGTCTCATATCTGCTTGTATGCTCCTGGGGAAAGCTAAAAGCCATAAGAAATGAGATCCCAGGATATTCTGGAACCCTTTTAATGAACATTGATTCAAGGGCTCTCATGTGCCTGAGGTTTCATATGGGGGAAACTAAGCCACAAGGATTGAAGTCCCAGTCACTAGTTGGAATCACCGTGAATATGGATTTTGAACTATAACCATGGACTAAAATCTAAAAGAACTTTTTGCAACAATAAAATGATTGTTTCTAGTATGTAACCAGAACAAGAATTGAACTAACACCTGTATGTATATAAACTTTTCTTTTTTTAAATAGATTTAATCTAATTAGTAAGAATTAGCTGGGAATAAGGACTGAAATATTTATTGACCTGGAAGGTAATGTGTCAGATCTTTTGGGACTGACAGAACTTTATTTGACCATGTAGCTGAATGGAAGCACGAGGCTGGATACATTAAGGAAAGTGCCTGGTTTGGACAAAAATGAAACTGTTTTGTGTTGGCTTTGTGATAATAGATATTAGAATATCCACCAGCTTTGGGGAACTGGCCACCCCATTTCTTGCAGTGCATTATAATTGAGTGACCCCAGCAGGCTTTCCTGGAACCCCTATTTATGATGTTTATTCTCTACCAGATGATTAATACACATTTATTTATCTTGACTTTTTAAAATGAATTCATCTAGAAACTGCATGACAAGAAGTTGATTAATCACAATCTAAAATTATTCCAAAGTACCACATAAACGAATCCACAGCTTCTACATGAACCAGCTCCCACTGATTTAGGAGGAGTCTATATGAAAGAAGGGATCTGCATAACACAGAGAGAGTTGCAGCAGGGTCATGGCCTAAAACTCCCCCCCTAATACCCCTTCATTCAGAAGCTCTTCCCTCTCTCTACCATCCCTGCCACCTGCAAATACTCCTCCCAAAAAGCCTGGAAAAATTGTTGAGGGATCTGATGGGGAAGCATATTCAGGCTCTAGGGAACTAATGGGGAAAGTATATACTAATGGGGAAGTGGTAACTTGGGAGTTCTCTTCCATTGAAGAAGTTACCAAAACCCATCAAAGCATCTCTCTCTCTCTCTCTCTCTCTATATATATATATATAGGTTACAATTGTTAAACCTTGTATGTTTATTGTGATAAATATAGGTAACAAAACTAGCTTATGAAATCCAACCTGTGTGTCTTCCTCAGATTCTTACTGGCATGTGAGGATCAAAGGTTCAAGAAAAAGATAAGGAACCTTCCCTGTAAGCATTCCCCTTCAATCTCCTCACTTATAAACTAATTAATTTGAGCACTTGTGCTGATCTCAACTGCTGTATCATACACTTGACCATCTTGAGGCCAACTTCCTCATTTGTGAAAACCAAACACTAAGAGCTGAAATGTCTTCTGCACACTGCGCCTCTTGAGATCCCGCCCTTGCTTCACCAAGAGGACAAGAAGCAAGGAGTACTTTTCCCCAAGCTTGATGAATCTGCTTCTTGGGGTACGTATACACTGCAATTAGGGTGTGTGACTTCAGCATGTGTAGATGTACGTAAACTCGCTTTAATCTAATTAGCTTATATACTGACAGCAATGAGCCATGGCAGGTTGTACAAGCCTGTCTGGAACACTGGGTAGTTACTTGAGCTGCTAGTCCCAAAAAAATACACACTGCCATGGCATAAGCTGCTATGGTATACCAGGTATGTTTTCATGTAGTGTAATTATATTCTGCAAGTGCAATGTAGACACACCCTTAGGCTCAATGAAGCTGTCTGGTGCAAAGATAAAGGAAACAGAGTCCAAGGTTATGTAACAAACTCGCATCCAACTTAAAAATTGTGACAAATCTTACTACCTTCTACTCCTAGTGCAAGGTGCACTTATTTGGCCATTTCTGATAACAATTATAGATACAGCTTGCTGTGTATTTGTGAAAAGCAAAGAGCTCTTGGGAAAACAAATCCCCATCCAATCAAAACTTGTCTACTATGCACACAATTCTCTCCTGGGGGGAGAGAGTATTAGAGAGAGAGAGAATGGACCACACTTCACAGATATTTTAATTTCTTAATTCAGTACTGGAAGGCATGAAGATACATGGTGATGAGGGCACTGTAAGAACGTGGATAGAATATAATAGTTGATATCAGAAGTACTGCTAACAGTACAAGATGGATTTTTGTATAGTATGGGAAATTTGAAAGGCTTTTTTAATTGATGCCAACGTCTATTAAAGAAAAAAAATTGCTAGAGTGGCAATTTTGTTTACATGGTTTCTTATCTTGTGCTACCAGCTAGAGCCCATAATTCCCATATTTCATTAGTTTTAAAATTGTCAAATTAAAGCTCAAATATGCAGGGAGTAGACACTGTGGTAAAATTTGTGTTATTTTGCGACTCACAAATTTGTTTTCGCTGAATATTTATATTTGCAAACTGAAAAATACAGCTGCCATCTGGAAAAGAAATCAAATGATAATGATCGACTTTTGATAATTTCAAAAGGGAATTCTATCACCCTTTTAAAACAGTCTTTTTTTATTAGTTTAACATCCTGTTTGAGTAGTATTATTTACCCAGATGTGCTAGCCCAAAGCCTAAAGTAAACAAAGACATTTTAATTTTCTGATAAATAATACTGAATTGGTTTTGTTCCATTCAGATAAACAACAGCCATACTTCAATCATTGTATTATGGTTGAGATTGAGTCCAGATATACAGTGTTGTTTTTGTGATTACAATATTCTACTTGACCCACAAAGTAGCTCTTTTTCAGGTAAGAACATTGGGTGATTGGAGACAACTATGTATGAAATGCGAAATTTCACAACTTCCATTTCTGGTGCCTTTGTAAAGGTTCATATTTGTCTCTTATCATTTAAAATAAAGGGAAGCCTCTTATCATTTGTGTACTGAACAACATCAAGACATAGGCATGTAGAATATAGATAATTTTTTAAATTAAATGTCTGAACTTCAAAACTACTTACAGGTCTTGGCACTTGCTTTTGGAAATATCTGCAGTACAAGAATGCTACCAGTAGCATTCCAAAACCAAACATGATTATCCTTTATCAAACTTCCTTTCATCAAATGTACCAGATTCTCCAGGTCTACTTTATGTGCTGCAAAATATGTGTGGCAAAACTCGTATATAGTTTGCAAATTAGCTAGGATCCATTTGGGGTAATGTATTTGACACAATGGAGGGAAGTACGACTAGATGTGGAGAGACTTGGGAAAAAACAGAATAAAAAAGGCAAGATGGATGTAGATGAGGGACAGAAGAGAGTAGTGAAGGCTGTATAAAAAGATGGGGGAAAGGAGAGAGAGGTTGGTCAGATGATAAACTAGCTGATTTCAGAATATGAGGCCAACCAATCAGGAAAGGCCAGAAAAAACAGGAAAATCTGACTGCTGTGATAAGTAACATAATTCATATTTTCAGTCTTAAGGAGCATTCCCTGGGAGATTGAACCTAATGTGTATTGTCCAATGGAAAAGTGGCCACCTTGACTAGATGGAGTTGTCAAGACTGCATCATTTTGTACAAATTGGAATTCTGATTCCATAAATTATTCTATTCAAGAGTTAGGATTGCAGAAAGATTTGAGTTCTGATCTTTTCTAATAAAACTGAAGTGATTCACCAGCACTTTTATCTAATAGCACTATTGCAGCTGTTACACTAGCACTGGACTGCACACTTATTGGTATAAATGACATGCTGTGTTCTTCAGAGCAAGTGCCACAGTGTGACTACTTGTGTAGCATTGCAAACAATTTTGCCTGTGGGTAGCTAGTGAATTGCAGGCATGCTAGGGAGTTACAATCATATCTGCGGTGGCAAAATACTCTAGGGTAGATGAGTCCAGTGACTTCTCTAGAGTCACACAGGAAGTCTATGGCAGATTTGGGAACAGAATCCCACTTTTCTGGTGACCACTTTTGTAGCTACAAAACCTTCCGCTACTAATTACATTGCTTTTTCCTCAGTACACAATGTACAGTCAGCTTCTTGAAACTATTTCTGGTCTCTCTCCTACTCACTAAAACATTTGGGGAATGGATCATGACTATGTTTAGTGGACTGATTGAAGCAGTTTGCAAAACAGAAAGTACATCTTTTTCCAATTAGAAAAAATGAAGTTGTGAACAAACAACTGAACATTTTGAACACAGCCATTTTTATATTAAGGAACATTGAGTAAAATGATGCCATCACACCATGTACAGCATCTTTAAAATGCTTGTAAATAAATACATCTATACCCAAAATAGATCCTTTAAGATGCACCACTTCTGTGGTAGTACTTACTTACAGTATATTTTGGCATGTAGGGATATTAACTTTACAAGTGAAAGAGCAAATGTTTAAAAGCCAGCTACTTTTAATAAAAGTCCAGTCAAAGAAGAAATTGAAATTATATGCCCACATCATCTCCTCCCTGTAAATATATTCAAGAAACAAAGAATCAATTACCATGTTATGTTTTAGTAGTTGGGTGCTTTCAATGTTTCTTTGTGTACAAAATTCTTTTAGGCCCACACATACCTATTCAGAAAATATATTGCTAGAAGTCAATCTAGAAATAATTGCTGAAGAACAAAAATATTATCTGTCCATCAATCTATCATACATAATCATATTGTTGTTTAAAACCTATCTTTCCCCTCCCTGAGCTGTATCCAAAATATTATCTGTCCATCAATCTATCATACATATTCATATTGTTGTTTAAAACCTTTCCCCTCCCTGAGCTGTATCCTACATATCATGGACAGCAATGTGGAAAAAGAGACATTCAAGTCATCAATCCACTGAGTTCCTTAGCATAGAATGGGTAAGCAGTGATTTTTTTATACAGTGCTCCATTGCATCTTTGTAAAATATCTTGTAGAGACAACTGAAGGATTGATATTAGGCTTTATTATGCCTAAATATTTTGAGGTTATTGTTCCCAATATAAAAATCTGGCTTTAAATCTATTGTTAATTACATCTGGCTGCTGTCCTTAATAGAGCGAAGTCCTAAATGACTTCATTTCTGCTCAGTTAAGGACCAAAGAATTTAAGCTCTAGTATTTTACAAAATGCTTCATTAGTCTGAAATAGTGTTAACAATAACACCTTTAGGGCACAGTTGTACTCTGAGACATATGGATTCCTGTTTTGTAAGAACAAGCATTTGTGGTAGATGGTTATAAAAGACACTCATTGCTGCTTAATTATGTGGTAGTTGGCTGTGCACATCCTTAGATTCTGGTCATACAATTGATGTTTTGCCTAGTAGATTAATCCACTGAATTAAGCTAATTTGGAATAAATCATTCTTATTCTGGAAGTAATCATGGGTTTAATCTTGAATAATTCCCTGTGTACCCAAGCCTTGAGACTTCTTTGAAAATCACAAGACATAGTGTTGTAAAAATATACAGATCTTTCTACGCATTGGTCACTGTCCTATGAATTTGTAGTCTTAACAAAACAAGGTGCAGAAATACAAACATGGCACATGTCTGCAATTCAGACGAGAAGAGAAGATATCTGGGGATATGCTAATGTTTTAAGGAGGGATTGAAAAATGTGTGAATGGGTATTTGGAGATGAGGACAGAGAGACAGTCTAAAGCATAAGAGGGACAGCATGAGCAGCTGAGCACAGAAATAGCTGAATATTTTATCGTATTTTTGGCAAAAAATAAATTTGAGGAAAAACAAACTTAAAAATGTGGATACATTTTCATCAATCCCGCCCCCCTCAAATTCTCAAACCATTTCTTTTTGTTTAATAACAGTTTTTGAAAAATTTTTACCCTCTCATATCAGCTGCAGTGAAAGCAAATTAAGGAAGCAAATGGGAGCAATGGGTTGACAGAATTAGGAATGTTCATAGGGAATAGAAGACATTAAGACTAACATGAGAGCAGGAGTGCAGAGTGGTGCCTACAGTGACAACCAGCTTTTGTGTGACCGTATCCTTTCTCTTTTTGCACAAGGATGGGATTTGCCTTTGAATGTCAGCAAAACAGTACTGGTGGGCATGAATTTGGGCCTGATTCTGCACTTCTTAACTAGGGACAAAATGGACCCTGTTTTAATGAGAATTTTGCCTGAGTAAGATATACTGTACACGGCAATTATTGGTGTCATCCTTGTCATGACACAGGCCTAATGACTGCAGCAGGACTGAAGCCAAGGATAGGAGCACAAGTCAGGAACTGGAACAGGAAGCTTACTGGTGCAAGACAGGAACACAGTTGAAGCAGGGCTAGAATAAGGCAAGCACCGAAGGAATCACAAGCTGCAGGCAGAAGTGTCAAACAGCCACCAGACTGAGGACAAAGCCTGTTGTTATGGCAACTTACCCTCCAGTTCACCAAACAAGCACATGTGCTTACCAAAACCAGTGTTGGGCTTCACACCCAGAGAGTGGGGGAGTTGAAGTCACTTGGGGATGACTTCCTAAAAAATGGAGTCATTTCCCATCTTTTAACAAAAAATTCCATTGAATTTATAATAGCATCACCAAGGGTACGTCTAAACTACATGCCTCTGTCGGCAGAGGCATGTAGATTTGTTTGTTCAGCAAAGGTAAATGAAGCCGCGATCATTTAAATCGCGGCTTCATTTACATTTACATGGCTGCCGCGCTGAGCCGACAAACACCTGATCAGCTGTTTGTCGGCTCAGCGCAGCAGCCATGTAAATGTAAATGAAGCCGCGATCATTTAAATCGCGGCTTCATTTACATTTACATGGCTGCCGCGCTGAGCCGACAAACACCTGATCAGCTGTTTGTCGGCTCAGCGCAGCAGCCATGTAAATGTAAATGAAGCCGCGATCATTTAAATCGCGGCTTCATTTGCCTTTGCTGATCTGTCTAATCTACATGCCTCTGCCGACAGAGGCATGTAGTCTAGACACAGCCCAATAGTCAAGAGAAAAGTAGTGCCTGAAAAATAAACTCAAATATTTGCCTCAGCTTCATGTTTGCTGAGGCAAACCACTCCCCCTTCCTCAGAAGAGGGGGTCCTACCTACTAGGAGTGGCATGTTGGTATCTCTAATGCTGATCCTCCAGTACCCCTGAACGACAAGAAACAGCACAATATTAGTTCTGATGTGAGTTGCATGTGTGAGGAAGCAGTTGCACATTAGGTAACCACGGTGAAATGACTGACAGTGGGAATATCACAGCAGGCCATGTTAGAAGTCAGTGCTGAGGTGTATGCAGGTCTGGCACTGACTTCTGTGAAAGGAGAAGCAATTACAGTGAACTCCATCTGGTACCCAATCATCAGACATGTTTAGAAACTGAAGTGCAAATGACTGATGCATGCTGACATAAAATTAAATTAGAGTTCCTCATTAACATAATCCCAAAAGATTTATCTCTCGACCATGACAGATATAACCAGAGATTTATTTCTGATCTCTATGTTAGAATTGATAATTATTGCTCCTTAAGAATGCAGATTAAGTATAGCTTTTAGAAGATGAAAATAAGAAAAATTATCATGGAAAATTATGAGTGTGTTCCTTAAACATTGCATGACTTACCTTGGGAGAGGACAGGTGGAATTACAGCACTACTTTGTAGGAATGTAAGGCAGTTTTCTTACAGGCAATCTTCCAGTTGATATTAATTTTAAAACAGTCACTGCTAGAACACTATTAGAAGAATGAAGGCCAGTTCAAAGCCCTCAGTGCTCCTGCTTGCAGCACTGTGTTATATCATGTGTGTAAAATATATATCTATATAGTGACAAAGTCAACAGGATAAGGAAAAGGCAGCCCAAAAGGGTGAAAGCCCCTCCCCCATATTAAATAGGAATGAATTAGTACAGGTCAATCAGGGTCAACTAAAAGGGATTATCTCTGGCAGATTAAGATCATCTGAGACAGGACTACCTTGGCCCAACTAGGATCAGCTGATTTCATTTTAGGGCTACCTAAGATCTTTTAAAACTCTCCTTTGTTGGGAGGTGGAGTAGTAGCATGTGCAACTGACCTGCTTCTCCTCTGTTCTCCCCTCCTGCTCACCCTCCTCAGTGGCTACTAACCAAGAGATAGCAGGGAGAAGCT